TGAGGAAGGCTAGTAATAAGAACAGAAGGGGAGGGTGGTGGTGCCTTATCAGCCCATAAGAAGGAAAGGGATATCCCTTTAGCTTTCTCTTAATTTAATACCCAAGGGAGACAATAGATATGGACTCCTCCCATAAGCTACAACTTAATCAAGATTATTTAATTCAAAATAAATCAAACTACACTACCACATATATAAAATATTTAATTGGTTTTATTCACATCAGACCATACAACTTCTATAACTACATATTAGTTCCATCCAAACTAAACAATTACACCGGAGGTTTTAGAAACCATTTGACTTTTGCGTAATGGACCTCACTTAAAGTAGCTAAAATTTGTATCACCATTCCATTGTTCATCCATCTAACCTTTTCAACCCCACCCTAAAAAACCTACCGATAAGTTCAAGAAATTAAAAGATATTTGTTTGAATTTAAAACAACTTTGGAGAATCACGTGTAAATTAAAAATACGGTGATAATATCTCAAACAAACTATAAAAGGATTTGGGGTCTAATTTAAAATCACCAAGATTTGAGGGCCCGATATAGGATTAACTAAAATTTGGGGGCGAATATAACAAAAACCCCAAAAAAATAAAAGAGAAAAGAAAGTTTGGAAATTTCTTAATTAATTAAATCAAAACATTTAAAACCTAATCAACCACTAATCAACCCCCTCCCTCTCCACTTAATCAAGAAGCCCCCCCTTCGTCTCCCCCCACCTAAAAACCACCCCTCTTCCCTCCCCTCCACAAATCGTCGACCCATGTCGGACCACCTCCCTCCACCTCCGCCGCCAACGGCGCCGCCGCCAGTCGCCGCGCCGCCTCCCGCGGTGGACCCGCCAGGAGATCTGGTCCTCATCGAGGGCAAGCGCGCCGTGGAGAGCCGGGGAAAGGGCCGGTTCGGGCCGGGCAGGCTCGTGGGGCCCGCGGGCCGGTGGAGCCCAGTGGCCTCGGTGTCGTCCTACTGCAGGGGCACGGGTGGACCGGGGGCCGCGTGCAGTGCCGGAAGCGGTGGAGCAACTTGGCGGGAGACTTCAAGAAGATCAAGGAGTGGAGGGCGGGAGGGGCCCAAGGAGAGCGTTCTGGGCGATGAGGAACGACCTGAGGGAGGGCGAGAGGAGGCTGCCGGGTTCTTCGACCGGGAGGTGTTTGAGATTCTCGACGCGGCGGCGGCGGACGGCGCGCCGGCGGGGGGAGGCGAGGAGGAGGTGAAGGAGGAGGAGGAGGAGGTGGAAGGTGGCCTGAGAGAGGGGAGAGGAGGAGGCCATGTTTGACAGCGGGCAGGACGGCGGGAGGACGGGCTGTTTTCTCTGGAATTTTGACGGGAGGACGAGGAGGATGCAGCGGAGGAGGGGAGGACCCCCGGCGGCGGCCGCCCGCGGAGGCGGTCCAGACGATTTATCGGCGTAAACTAACTTATATTTTATGTCTGTTTATGTCCATAAAATATTTTCTGATGTGGAAATTCATTTTAGAATACGGGAAATTATTTTCTGATGTGGAAACGAAAAATTTTTTGGGTTGTTTTGCTTGGCTAGCATGGTTGTGAAAGGAACAAGGAAAAAATTGTTTTCTGGGTTCTTAAAAAAGAAAAAAAAAAGAATTTATGAGAATTTGTTTGACGACGTTTTCCAACTCTAATGTAATTTATATGTCCAAGATTAACTGCTATTTATCTAAGTTTAGTGATGTTTCTTCATGCTGTTGAATCTTGCAGAGAAGAAATGTGAAGCTTCACAGCAAGAGTTCTCTGATTCAGGTATTACCTATTCTTTTTGTTTTCCTCCCTCTCCTTCATCATTGTGCATCAGCAGTTAGCAAAATCATGCTTCCCAAGCCCAAGTTCAAGATATGCTAAAGATAACTCGGATTGATATTTGATCAGGATTTGCTTTTGAAGTGAGCTCTCAGCACTGAAAATTAAAACTTCAGGCTTTTTCCCAAGTTCAAGAAATCACTGTGTAAGTTCGTAATAGTCATTGTTTGCATGGTTCTTGCTAGTTCAAGAGTTACTTAGCATGTGCATGATATATCCCGCATTATTTTATTTTATTTTTCATGATTAATGAAAACACAGGCCATATCAACCATAACAACAGTAATATATCAGTGAGAAAATTTCCATAAATCAAGTTCTTATGCAAATGTGTCTAGTTTTATCTGTGGTTGCTGTCGATCGACCCCCTGTACTATCGCCAAAATCTACGTTACGTGGATACCCCCCTCCTATAAGGTTCAGAAAAACTTCGCTCAGGGTTCTATCTGCAGCAATAGGACTACAGGGGTGTCAAGTTCAATTTGGCGATAGTTCAATTCGAAACCTTTCGAAATAAGAGGACTTCATCTGTCTCGCAGAATCACTCCACACCGATCTTATTTATCGAACCATCGACAGGTACGCATAAAGGCAAACAGCCATCAGAAATCCCCGAGAAAGGGCCATCGTCATCACAGGAAGCCCACAAGCGGAGAAGAACGTCACAGGAGGGATACACCGAAACCAACCTGCAATCTCAACTGATCGAAGTCCTCGACAGAAACAGCAGAATGCTGGCAGCCCAGCTCGAAGCTCAGAACGCGAGCAATCAGTTAGACAGGGAGCAGAGGAAGGGTCAGAGTGACGGACTGCTCGGTGTTCTCAGCAAAGTAGCAGATGCTCTTGGGAGAATTGCGGATAAATTGTGAGTAGGTTGTGTACAGATTAGTGCGCACTAGCTTATTGGATTGATGTATACTTTTTTTTCTTCTTCTTCTTTCTATAGCTAATAGCGAACCTACAGGGAGAATTTGAGAGTTTGGAAGAGGTTTTATATACTGTAGATGTTGGGTTTTGATTTGATAAGTACAGTGTTTGTAGCAGATAGTTATAGTGATGTTGATATTTAACTGTCTGCTTAATGATTTGCTTATAAGAACCTAGTGGGGCTGCTGTATGTAAACTATTTTTTCATGGACGAATTGTCCCACATAATATTAAACAAATGTTACACTCTTTAACTACGTGAAGCAAGCAAATATCACGAGTCAATTGGCATTTAAGAATATGATTCACCCACCAACTGACTTCGACAGAAAAAAGCACAATCACAACTGGAAATGCTGTGAAGGAGAGGGAAAGGTACAGATTTGAATCCAGGATGCATATATCAATCACCAGATCTTAAAGACGCACGAAGGCAACCCAACATCACAATTATCCAGATTAAGGATATTTCTTTATGCTACAGGATTAAATTCAGCAGGGCAAAAAAAAAAAAAAAAACCCAGCAACCAAGCGAAACGAAGAGAATTGATACTTCAAGTTGAATCATCAGATGTCACCTTCGAACGATATTTCCTGCCTTTTCGAAGGCTCATATCTGTATCACCTAGTGGGGCTTCAGCTTCATCTTCATCCATTTCAGACGCATCATTTTCATTGGTTTCCCCTGCAGCAATTTTCACAGAGGAATCCATAGCTTGATGAAGCTCCTTTGAGTTTACTGGGCTATCATCCATTGGAACTAAGTCGACCGCCTTTTTTCTAGGCGTAAAGGTCACCGACTTCGGAAGGTCTACAGGAAACTCAGGTTGCCGATCTTCGGGGTTGGATTTCTTCACCAAGTTGCGGAAGTCTTCGAAGGCTTGCTTGTTAGTTTCTTCTTCATTTTGTGATGAGTCGAGAGTGTAACAAGTATACTTGGACGGATTTCTCAAATAATCAGGAACTCCAGGGGATTCTGCCATAGACCGAGGGAGCATAGGAACATCTCCTGGTTCTTCAGAAAGCTCGTCAAGGTCACCCATATACCCAGGATCGAATCTAACTCGCTTCTTTGGCTTTGGGTCAATCTGAGCCTCCTTCCTCTTCAAAATAGGTTTCACGTTGACATCGTGATTGGTTATTTTTGCTGCTGGTTTACTCAAGGGTTCAATGCTCTTATCTTCTTTGAGTCTTACACTTGCAGCAAAGTGATCAGCACGTGGATCCTTATTGAAATAGGGAGCTTCATCGGATTGTTCATCTAGGAAATCAGGAACTACGGCATGGTAGTTAATATAAGGGCCATGATCCTTGACATCTCTCATGTAGACGCGCTCGCTGGCATTTTCTCTGCATAGAGCTGCTTTGTCATATTCATCTTCCTCCTCCTGGAAAAATCAGCAGCAGTTTGAATTCTTAGCAACTATAATCAGAATTTAAATGCACCTATGAGTAAAAGATAACTCAAGCAAAAGAACTATGAAATGTATAAGATGAAAACAAAGGGAATTCGCCCTTATTCTGACAGGAAAGCAAGAGAATGTGATGAGCTTGACTGAGCTGAGAAATATGTGATGAGCTTGACTGAGCTGAGAATTATGTGATGAGCTTGACTGAGCTCAGAAATAGAGAATATAATAATAACCACAAATTTTCAGTACTGAATGATCTCGCCAGGGTTTAAGTCAATGATTTAAACTAAACTATATTAACAGAAATTTATTTTGAAATGCTCTATCAGATAAACCAGTATACAAACCTAACTATTTAATGCCTCCTCATAAAGACCTCTTCACTCCCATATTCGAAGGAAAAACTATAACCACCTTGAAGAAACCTCAAGTGCCATTTTACTTTGGCTGAAATGTAGAATACCTTTGGATTAAAAGACACTTTCAAGTACTTCAAGCTGAAATTACATGGTAATAGTACACTATTAGCGGGTAGCCAGAATGACTACCCAATTGTCCTTCTCTTGTAGTTAATTATCCTTCTCCTTTGTTCTATTTCGTCTAGTTTAGTTAATTATCCTTCTCCTTAGTTCTTTAGTCTTATAGAGAAATACAAAATGTTACAACACTTGAATACATGATGTTTCACAAAAAACATAACCTCCAGTTGAAATTTACAGGTCAAATGCAACAGAATCTCCTCTTAATTTACCCGAATGAAATTTGTTCTGAACTAAACGTGGTTCCCTCTATTTGCATCCCTCCTGCTAATGACTACAGTATCAATCTGTGATATGACTTGGTTCATAAGATACTTGCCCATAAACATAGTTATATGGAATATAGAAATATCTATGCACATCTACCTCAGTTTTACTACATATAAAACGACATACATCATTGACCATTCAGTTCGGTATATCATATTCTACATATATAAGTACATAAAAGACTTGGTGAGTTTTATCACGCCAATAAATAACATCAAAGAGACTGAGGTTCAAAAAGCTAGAAACTTGGGGAGAACTTTTGCCAGTAACAGAACATAGACTAGTAACAGTCTAAAATATCCCTGATAACCCCTTAGAATACGGGTTCATTGATATGAATATGCAAGTTTTGACTTTTGATAGTGACTAAATACATGAATATCTAGAGAGTTTTTTACCCACATGAAAGTGACGCTAAAACATGGGAGATTTAAAGAATGGAAGGGACTAAAGAGTACATGGATACTAGTACTGCTTAAATCCCAAAAGCAGTTGTTAAGGAGGCCCTTAAATCATTTTAAAATTGCAAGAAGGTGCTTAAACCACTCTTTAATTTGGAAGAAGGCCCTTAAGTCATTATTTAATTTGGGAAGGGTCCCCCCAAACCTTGTTATTTTATTAGTTTCCTCCCTCCTGCCAATTTAATTTAACTTATAAAGGGTCTTTAAATCTTCTTCGATTGGGAATAGATCGACAAGACTCATACTTTCCTTCCGGCCCTCCGTCTCTCCATCAACCCAACTGTTTGTAAATCAACACCTATAGGTAGCTTGAATACCTAAAGCATGAAGTTACGTTATTATTAGATTAAAGTTCCAGTTAGTTTGAGCAGCTAACTCAACATTTTTGCAAGTTCTTCTGTCTTGCATTTGATGGAGGGACCACACAATAAATGCAAGAAAAAGAATAATCACTCCTCACTCTGTCCGAAGCAAATGGTGGAGACTTCGTTCAAGTGTAAAGAACCTAAGATGTCCAAAATTGCGACTAGAATAGATAGATATATGCAACTAGTGACAATGAACCAACAATTTCAATGATAGTAGTTGCATCACTCAGGTGTGTAACGTGGTGACAAATGATAGCGGTTTGCTAGTTTAATACCATACATCAAAGGACTAAAGGAGACACTCAGCTCCACAGAACAAGGGACAGCTAGCTTAAGATCAAATCTACCACAATAACTATCACCTTATCATCAACTAGAGCATTTTCCCATTAGAACATAGTTGGTTATGAAGGGTACTTCATATTCAGTTGTTGTCTTTTAATATTAATCACCTTGAGCCCATGTGCCAATTTGTTACAGGGTTTTTATGAACACATTCATGGTATTAAAGAATTCATTCGTTAGTTTAGGATTTTCTGTTTGTCATAAATGAGCATTTTTCCACAGATGCATTGTGTTGCATTCTTGAGTAATTATTCAGACACTCGTTTGCGTGAACACTTACGCAAAGTCAATCATAAAACTCTGGAGCCTTGGCAACACAATACATGGTACCATACATAGCTAGACTGGACATTAATAGTCATGCTACTAGCACACGCCTTAAATATTTTCTAATCACAAACTGCTTGACATTCATGAGATTGGAAATTGCAATCACTTGTGGAATACAGATTCCAAATGCATATTCTATTGTAAAGTTAAACTCATTTAAACTAACACCTGCTATGCATATATTTAATAAATGTAGTCTCGCTTTGCCTTTACGTTTGCCAAATGTCTGTGGCTCTTTAAACTCTCCTCTATGACATGTTTGGCACCATTTTGATGGTACTAAATATGCTAATCCATGCACGCAACTACTAAAAGGTTGCTAGCTAGTAGTACACAAAAGGACTTAGTTCTGTCATGCTACTATGACGACCTCTGGCCTGTGATGTTGGACTTGGTGGATGATGTGCCTAACACAAGTCCAGACAAACTGTTAAACTATTTGCCGCAGACCCAGACGTCTGTATTATGCCAACACCAAATAGCCCAAAGAATGTGCAGAACAGTTGTTAACAAAAAAGTGTCACCTACAGCTCAGTTTATTTTGCATGAGTCAAATCATCGTTCACCTCCATAGGCGTTCTTATATAGAGCTTGATGCAGGTCTCACTATCTCCCGACTACAATTGAACAAAAGGCCTCTCAAAGTGGATATCTTACAAATTGTATAATTAAACATAGGCTACAGTTTCTTTAACCATATTAAAAATGACAGATACTCTTTCTAGCCTCCTGATATATTCTCATGAACTCACTCATCTATGCATTCCCTCAAATTTAAGCTTACTCCACAGCTAACAGAATAAAAGAGAGACTAATATTGCCAGTCACCAATCAGGTCCACTAGCTCTATACCAAGGGTGGATGCACATATACATGAGGTAGGGAATGTTCCCTACCCCAAAGTTTGAAACCTCCACTATTTATAATAAGCTCCTTCCAAGGATGCTTGCAGCAAAATATGGGTGCCTAACCTCATGTGCATGTTTTTTACTGTGCCCTGAAAGAAAACATATAAAAGCCCGTACCTTGTTTTAATAATTAGATTACGAAGGCTTTTGATAATTTCGAATGATACTACAGTCACTTAATGATTGTCATAAGTCATAGTTGATTTTCACATATACTCATACATAATTTTACTTGTAGAATTTTACATTATATTTGAAAATTTTGTTTCATCATATATTTTGCTACATTGTGCATATACTTAATTTTATGCTACTTAAATATCTTTATGCTGTTATAACTAATTTTTCGTTTGCTTCAAAGCAATACCTATGAACAAATTGCTCCAAACAATACTAGATCTGTGTCCTATCTCACTAAACCTATCATTCTCAATTATCTATTCAACCTCTACTAATTTCCAAACAAAACAAATCGCACAAGTAGAAGCACAACACATCATATCAAAGCAACACAAACACAAAATTCCAAATCAAACAAGAAGCAAACCTCGTGATCCAGCGTAGGATCAAGCCCGACCGAGGACCTAATCTCCCTCTCCTCTCTCTCCTCATCACCCTCCCCTGTCCTCTCCCTTTCCCTCTCCCTCTCCTCCTCCCCCTCCCCCCCCCCCCCCCCCTCATCATCATCAAAATCATCAAGATCCCCTTCGAACTCCCGCTGCTTATCCCTCTTACTCCTCCTACTCTTAAACAAGCAGCCATCCTTATCGTAGAACGCCGACGAGCACGGATCCCTCTCTCGATCTTCGTCCTCCCCTTTGTCTCGGTTCCACTCGCGGCGCTCGACCTCGCCGACGGCGACGGACCAAGACGAGGAGGGGAAGGAGCTCTTGGGGACGGCGTCGAAGAGTTTGGACCCGAAGAGGCGCTTCACGCGGTCCTCGAAGCTCTCGGCCATGGCGATGGCGACTCCAGATGGTGAAAAGGGGAGAGTTTTGGAGGTCGATTGAAGAGCAACAAGAAACTAGGGTTTCGTTTGGGTTCGGTTTTCAATGAGGAGGAGAATAAGGAGAAAGAGAAACCTAATAAGCAGTGAACCGCCTCAAGGGGAAGGGCGGGCCCGCATAATCTGAGACGTGCGGGGCCACTTTAGGGCCCGTTTGTTTCGGAAAAAAAAAAGGACCGAAAGTGGGGGAAGGTGAGGGGGAAAAGAAGGTGAATTTTAATGTTTTTCTTCACTTTCAGAGGTTTGGTTCGTCAAAGCTATAATCGAATGTGGAGGAGAAAATGAGTTGTCACCATATTATTGGTTGATGTGAGTAATTTTTGATGTTTTCCTCCACTTTCCTGTCACCATATTATTGGTTGATGTGAGTAATTTTTGATGTTTTCCTCCACTTTCCTTGTTTAGGTTCTTTTCTTGTGTTTGGTTCATTCTTAAAAATTTTTGATGTTTTCCTCCACTTTCCTTGTTTAGGTTCTTTTCTTGTGTTTGGTTCATTCTTAAAAGTAAGAGAAAATAGATGAGATGAGATGAGATGAGTTGTCATTATATTATTAGATGATGTGACACATACTTAGGAAAATCAATTTCCTTGTTTTTTTGGTGAATATGGATGGAAGGAAATTTTAATGAGATGTGATGAGTTGTCACCATATTATTGGATGATGTGAGTAATTTTTAAAGATGGCAGAAAATGAAGAAAAATGGGGGGAAATGAGTTAGATGAGTTGATTGATGTGACTCATTTCTTGTGTTTTGTTTATTTTTAAAAGTATGAAATGAGATGTGATGGGATGAGTTGTCACAATATTATTGGAGGAAAATGGAGAAAGTGAAGGAAATTGAGTTTTGGAAAGTGAGGGAAAGTGAAAAAGTGAAAGAAAGTGGGTTTTTGATTTTGGGGGAAACGAAACAAACAGCCCCTTAGATGAATACGAAATTGGAGAAATTTTCAAAACAGTCCGGTTTTCTAATTTATTCTCAAAATCCGACCCCTTTCACTTTTATTCAGTGAAATCCACCTAATTTCTGGTCATGTCAGCAATGTGGCTAGAAATTGTGTCGTTAAAAAAACGAACTCCTAATTAGTTGGGGTTGGCAACCCCGACTAATTAGAACCTAATTAGAACAAGTTCTAAACATGAGCGGGATTAACAGTTCAAACCTCGACCAAAATGGGGTCGGGGTTGAGAACTTCGACCATTTAGCAGAGAGTTTGGCCCTGATTCGATGATGCAAAGAATTGGCTAAGTCACAAAATAGTCAGGGTTCCCAACCCCGACTATTTGACTATTTGTGGTGGGGCCCGCACACTTATGGCCTGTTTGGATGGAGGGTAGAGAGGGGGAAGGGAAGGGAAATTTTATTTTAACCTTGTTTGGGAGTTTCATTTTATAGGGTAGAGGAGGGGAATGGAGGGGAAATTTAGCCCAAATTCTTACACCCCAAATTGGGGTGTAATGGAGGGGAAGGGAAGGAAGGGGAAAAATTCCCCTTCCTTCCCCTTCCTTCCCTTCCCTAACACCCTGTTTGGATTGAGGGTAATGGGGGTGAGGGGAAGGGAGGGTAACTTTTCACCTTGTTTGGGAAGTAAATATAGCAAGTTAATAAGGGTGAGGGGAGGTGAAAGGAGGTGAGAAAACATCAGGATTTCTTCCCCCCCCCCAATTTGGGGGGTAATGGGGGTGAAGGTAAAGAGGGGGAATACAACAAATGTAGAGAGACATAATTACCCCCAGCTAAGATCAAAATCCAACGGCTGATTTTTGACCACACACCCACAGTATTAAACTCTCCGTTGCTCTCTGCCTCCGCCATTTCTCCTCCGCATCTCCTCTGGCCTCCGCTACTCTGGCCTCCGTCATTTCTCCTCCGCGTCTCCTCTCGCCTCTGCTAGCCTCCGCGTCTTCTCTAGCCTCCGCTCGCCTCCGCTCGCCTCCGCGTCGACCTCGCCTCAAAAATTTTCAAGGTAAGATTTCTCTCCTCTTTATTCAATTTTACTGCAGATCTTGTAATTAGCTCCAGTTTTTAAGCTCTGTTGGATGTTGATTACGTTGAAATTAGTCAGATCTGAGCAAAAGGTTTGCTGAAGACTTGATCTAGGGTTTGCTGGAGTCTTGATCTAGGGTTTTCGAGAATAATGGGTAGGGATCAAAATTTTATCTTTCGGATAGGTGGACAAGGTTGAGATTTTCGCTAGAATATAGTTTGCATTTGCATTGAGAATAGAAAATTATTGATTTTAGATTGTTACCTCTTATTTTATCCTGTTAGAAATTCGTATTCATGCTTTAATTGTTTGAAATGGTATGTGCTGATTGGACTGGTATCATTATATCATGTGTCAGTGTTCTACTTCCTCCCTGTATGATTTTCGACGTAGGCACTATATAGGATTTTCTTTTTTCCTTTTTATTCTGTTAATTCATCTCAAAACAATTTCACTTAAAAGTTTAGATTCGTAGGTTCTGAACTGACAATGCATATCAGTGAGCATCACATTAATTTCTATGAGTTCAGAAAAAATATACTTAAATTTCAATAGCAATATTTGAATCAGGACCTTTTGTACCTGTTGAAGCCTGCTGATCTAATACCGTACCAAGGAACCAACTTTGCCAAAAATTTAAGCTAATGAGTTAATGGTGAAATGTACAACTCTGAGCATTAACTCTAATTTCTCTAATGTACGAAGTATTTACAAGTTATCTATATTAGCATTAACTCTAATTTTAGAAAGTTGGCGATTGAGAAAATTTTCCTTGTATTGAGTTTGATTGTTTATGAAATTGTATATTGGAGCATGAAGCTACTGAATTTTAAATTCCACGTCTTAACTGTAAAATTTTTAACTTGTTGAATAGATAATGGACGCATGGCTCCAATTTCAACACACATGTAATATTGCGGTTGGATATGCTATTTGCTTATTTGCTTATTGGTTCGTGCATCGAAGAGATAGGATTAGGAGATTAAATATTGACCCTCAAGAACCTAAAGAAGTAAGAGATGTTGTGCGAGAAATAATGTCTCAAAGAGTTATATGTCGTGAAATGATTCGAATGAATCCACCAGCTTTTAACCAATTGTGCGAAATATTAGAGATGAATGGTGGGCTTAAACCAACTCGAAGGGCTACTATTGAAGAACAAGTTGCAAAATTTTTATACATGTTGGGACACAGTGTAACAACTCGTGAAGTAAGTAAGATATTTGGACGATCTGGAGAGAGTGTGAGTCGTCATTTTCATAATGTTCTAAGAGCTATGATAGAGTTGGAGGAAATGTTTTTTGTACAACCCGATGGATCACAAGTTCCTTCGGAGATACTCACCAATTCAAAGTTCTATCCCTATTTCAAGGTGATGATATCTTCCTTCACATCTAATCTTGTATAGTTTGTTATTTATTAGATTTTAATTAATGTTTATGACATCAGGATTGTGTTGGGGCAATTGATGGCACACATATTCGAGTAAAAGTTTCTCCTCGAGACGCCCCTAGATATCGTGGTAGGAAAGACTATCCCACACAAAATGTGTTGGCCGCATGCACGTTTGACTTGAAATTCACTTACGTTTTGCCTGGATGGGAAGGAACTGCATCTGATTCCAGAATTATTAAAAATGCTTTACAAAGGCGATTTCCACTTAAGATTCCTCAAGGTAATTATAAACTAAAGAAAAGCCTAAAATTGTGTCTTTGTAATAAGCTACTAATCAAAATGAACTTGTTTTATAGGAAAATATTATCTGGTTGATGCTGGATTCATGTTACGAAGTGGATTACTTCCACCCTACAGAGGGGAACGTTATCATTTGAAAAAGTATTCAAGAAATCCACCAAAGAATCCACGCGAGTTATTTAATCTAAGACATGCATCACTTCGGAATGCCATTGAAAGATCATTTGGTATCTTGAAAAAAAGATTTCCCATTATAGCAAGTTCAAATGAACCAAACTACAGTGTTAAAACACAAAACAAGATCATTTTAGCTTGTTGTATTTTGCATAATTTTTTAAGGGGAGTCGATCCAGATGATGAATTTCAGGAAGGGGATGAGCAACATAATGAAAATCAATTTGAAGAAGATGATGTAGATGAGGACGAAGATGTTCGTAGAGGGGAGTGGAAAAGAGATGGCATCGCGGTTGCTATGTGGCAAGATTACCATCGATAATTTATTTTAGTTATGCTTATTGTTTGTTTGATTTGTACTCTCTATTTGGGTTATCTTCTCAATTTGTGTTGTACTTGATAAGTGTTAGACTAATATCATTTTAATTCGGTAGCATGAATGTTAGTTTATTTATTGTGATCTCATGTCATCTCTCATTGATAGTTTTCAATTATTGAATTGTGAATAATTAATTCCTTCTAACATTATTGTGTGAATTAAAGGATGTCGAAAAGAAGGAATGTGGAAGGTGATTCTTCTCGATGTAGGAATGCTAATGCTTTGATATGGACTCCTATTATGGAAGATAAGCTAATTGATGCTTACTTGAATCAACATGTAATGGGAAACCGAGTTGATGGGAATTTTACATCAATGGCTTATAATGAAATAGTAGCCGAACTTAAAGAAAGCTTTCCCGATAAGCCATTTGATAAGGAAAAAGTAAAGAATCGCATGAAATATATGAAGACAAAATGGACAGCTTGTTATGATTTATTTAAGAATGTCGGAAGTGGCTTTGCTTGGAATCGAAGCACGGGTTTGTGGAGTGCGGAACCTGAGGTTTGGGCTAGACTAATCGAGGTAAAATTACACAATCTTTATTTTTTATCGCATTAATGCCATTTATTACAAGGATTATCATTTTTAGTAGCTGAATCGGAAACCTGTTTTTGAGTTGGGTACTGAAAAGGGTACTTGTACCAGTTGAACTGGAGAAAAGGGTATTTTAGCTGTACCGACTAATTGGATATATGATTAAATCTTACTGTTACATGTGATATATGCCAAATCCAATATCTGACATTAATATCTATGACTGCAATCCTATGTATTATTGGCCTGCATCTTTTTTCCCCCTCTTATAATTTTCTACAATTTTTTAGATAAGTATATTAGTTCCCACGGGTGACCTCCATCCTATTTGTTTAAAAAATAAAAATAAAAATCATGTGCACATTGCTGACAATCTGTTTGATACGCTGAAACATATCGTTACAACTGCAATTGCCATTTCCAAAACACAGTTTTAGTTACAGTTGCATATGTTGTTTCGATGCAACTCAAGTTGCTGTAATTGTAAAAATATTCGATTTTTGAGATGTGCTAGCAACCAAATTGACTGGATCTTTTTTTTTTCTTTGGCAAAAAAATGCTTAGTTTTGCAGCTGCAATGTAAAGAGACTATAGTTACAGCGAAACAACTAATTTTCCTAGCCCTTAGATCGAAGTTAATACCATACTAAGCTTGCACTCTCGTAACATTATCTCTGAGTAGCTTGCATACTCGAACCCTGTAATCTGATACTTTACAGGTTGCATGAAGATGTAGTGTTGATACTTATAAGACATTTTTTTTTCACTAGCATCGCACATATGTGGTCTTAATTTACCTGTAATTTGATTATCTGTGGCAATTACAAACTTGTTTGTTTTTGTGTTGCTTATGGCAAAACTTAGTATGCATGTGGTCATATTTTGCTAGAAACATGTGCTAATTGCAAAACTTTGATTTTATGAATTATGTTCCTTTTTTATGTAAGTTGTTTTTGCCTATTTAGTATGTATGTTGCTATGTGACTGTCCTTATTATTTTTCATTCCAAACTTAGTATGAATGTGATCTATATTTGGTTTCTGTTCCACTTTCTTGTGCCTTTCTGGGGTATTATTTTGCAGCATGATGAAGCTATGCTTCTAGTCTAAAATGAGGCCACACATCAAAATCATAACTTCTAATGAAATCCATAGCTATTTTGCAGCATGATGAAGCTATTACTACTTTAATTATGGCCGTCTACTACTTAATGTACGCTTGTGATTTATCTTGTACAAAAATTAATAACTGAATGTAATTTTGAAAAAGAAAAGGTTATCTATTTGGAACGAATTAAAACAATCAAAGTATTATCATCTCTTCACGGTTCCACTATTAGAATCGGTTATAGTCAAAAATATTCTCATGGTTATCTAAACTTCAATATTCTATCTATAAGAATCAAATATACAATTGTTTGTATAAACCAATTATTACAGTTTTAGAAACAGAAGAATTGCGATTAGAAAGAAAAAGAGAAAATAAAGAATACACTTGAAGAAATCTGCAGATAAATAAATAATAAGATATTTATTTTCATGTGGGCTTATGTGACAGTTGCTCATATTTTTTTATATACATGTGAGGGTATTTATGTCAATTTATATACATTCCCTTCCCTTCCCTTCTTGTTATTACACTTTCCAAACGGGGTGAAATAACTTCCCCTTGATTCACCTTACTAATTTCCCAAACAAGTTTTAGAAATTCTCTTCCCTTCCCTTCCCTTAACTTCCCCTTGGTTCCCCTAACTTCCCTTCACCCCCTCCAAATCCAAACAAGCCCTAAATAAACTCCCAAACACACCATTATATAAAACCACCTGACCCTCTTCCCCTCATATTCATCGTTTTCTTTCTCTCTTCCACTCCAGTCTTCTCTTTCTCCTATGCCTACCCAAGTCCCTCCAACCTTTTTTTTTGTTGAAATTCGACAAAGAAGTTTGCAGAAGATCTCTAGGGTAATTTCTCTTCCTTCTCTCTTCTTTAACATTTAAAAATCTAGGATTTTTCTTTTTTTTGTCTTCAACGTTTAAATCTAGAGTTTTCATCAAAATCCAAATTCTAGGGTTTAAAAATTTAATGTTAATTATGTATCTTTGTGGTGATTGTCACTCTTTGTGTGGGGTATAGTTTAATTGAAATTGAAATTCTATGGCATATAATGCTCATTTTGGGGGTTTATGGTTTTTATTTATTTATTTGGGATTATTGATTAAAATTAGAGTTATATGATTATGGGATTGTTGTGTTGAATATATGGATTATGAGATTGTTTGCATCTAGGGTTTCCTCTCTTATTCAATGGCTTAATAATATTTTTAAAAAAAAATTCCGTTTAAATGATATAATCTATTTTTTTAAGAGATTGAACAATATGGTTTTTATTGCTTATTTTTACAGTGTAAAAATTAATTATGGAATGAATAATATGCCAATGTATATTGGAGGGGTAACAACATTGTTAATAATATTGGAATCATGTAGTTATTATGAATTGATTATAGAATTACATCAAGATAATGAAATTGATCCACAAGAGTACCAACTAAAAGTAATATGCAATTGGCCCATAATTTTTTACAGAACATATGTAGTTGAGATCACGACTCATCATATGAGTATTATGTTTAATTTGAGCAAGATGCAATCAACAGTGGAATTATTTACTGAAAAGATTTCATTTAGTTTGGGTCAAATGTTCAAACCTCCGAGAGAGTTATCACACATGTTAGATTTTAGAGTTGAGTATGACGATTTTCTTTCATTTTCGAGTGAAATGGAGAAGACTCAAATTCAATACCTAAGTGCGTCTTCATTTGGGAAAACATCAAGTGTCATGAACAAATGAAGCGCCTTATCAAAATACGAGGCCGTTAAGAGGGGCGGGGATTTAAGAGGATGAAAGAAGCGATGACTCTGAAGGTGAAGAACAAGATAGTGCACCAATTGATATCATGTAATTTGTGATTGAAGATATTGAAGAGAACCCGAGATTGCTTGAGGAGGCATATGATAATAATGAATATCGTTCGTCAAGCAGGGTTTTCTGAACATTATGTCGAATTAGGATTTGAAGGATCATACACGTGCACATTCGCGAGTTAGGATTTGACGGATCCACGAGTTCAATATTATGTTCGTCAAGCAGGGTTTTTTGAATGTTCACAATTAAAATGGGTAAGACTTGATTGGCTTCTCTTGATGATATTGATTGAACGATGGAGACCTAAGACAAATACATTCCACATGCGACAAGAAGAATTAATTATTACTCTAATGTAGGGATTGTACTTGGCCTCAAAGTGGATGAAAATGATGTTTACGGTGCTGATGACTTCAACTGGATTGGAGTATGTGAAAGATTGCTGGGTCAAGCTCCAAATAAGATGGGTGGTAAGATCAAGCCCTAGTAGTTATGATATAATTACATGAATGTACTAGTGGATGCAACAGATGAGATAGTCAAGACATATGCCCACGCGTATATTCTCCATATGATCAGTGCTATTCTATTTCTGGATTCAACTAAGGATTTAGTGTATGTTAGATGGTTGCCACTTCTTGAGGATCTTGAGGAGTGTGGAGAATTATTTTGGGGGAGTACAGTGTTAGCTTATCTCCATAGGGAGATGAAAAAAATGGCATTCATGCAAAATAAAGAATTTAAAAGTTGCATCACTTTGTTACAAATATGGTCATCGGAGCGACAACATATTGGAACACTAGATTTGAGGGAGACTCGAGTTCTCTATGGTCAGATTCCATCAGGATGCAGGTATATGAGTTTTTAATATTTATTTCTAATATTTATGATTACATGTAATTTGATACATTTTTTTAATCTATGCTAAACCTTTATATATCAAATAGATGGAATGTTTTTAGATATTGGAAAAGCTCCCCAAAGGGTCATGGAAATTTTTACAGGAATGAGCTTGATCAAATGGAGGATGAACAAGTATAAAATCATAACATCTAGCTATATTCAAGCAATATATCATATGTTACTGATATGTAATTTTTTGTAATATTCTTTATAGGTCAAGTGGATGTCGTATGAACTGGTTTAAGCTTCACTACCAGATTTTTGCAGAGATGGTGAAGATATATTGTGTGTCTGAGTCCCAATTATATGCTTTGAGATTGTTGAATACACGTGCCCGATTGTGTGCTTCAAAAATTTAGATTAAAACAATATCTTCCAAATCATGTAGAAAGAATAGAGCGAAATCCCCGAAAAGGGGCACATCATCAAAATTGGAAGATAATTCATCAATCTTACATTGAGAATTAGGAATTGAAGGGGGGTGTTGTAGTGATAGAAAGAGATGACCCACAAAAACTAGATGTGTGCATACGTTGGTATTGAGAGATTACTCGTCGATAGATATACCAGAAGAACAAAACACCTATCGCGTACTTGTCGAGGGGTCCAATTGAGAGAGAGTTGGTAAGTAGACAAGAAAAATATACACTTATTTTGTAATTATTATTTTTATTATTATTATTTTGCTA